AAAAAAACGACCATGTATAGTAAGGCATTTTTAGCCGGAAAAAAAACGAAAAAAAACTTTTTTTTCGGCAAAAAACGCCTTACTATACATGGTCTTTTTTTTCGGCCAAAAACGCCTTACTATACATGGTCGTTTTTTTCGGCAAAAAACGCCTTACTATACATGGTCTTTTTTTTCGGCCAAAAACGCCTTACTATACATGGTCGTTTTTTTCGGCAAAAAACGCCTTACTATACATGGTCTTTTTTTTCGGCCAAAAACGCCTTACTATACATGGTCGTTTTTTTCGGCAAAAAACGCCTTACTATACATGGTCTTTTTTTTCGGCCAAAAACGCCTTACTATACATGGTCGTTTTTTTCGGCAAAAAACGCCTTACTATACATGGTCTTTTTTTTCGGCCAAAAACGCCTTACTATACATGGTCGTTTTTTTCGGCAAAAAACGCCTTACTATACATGGTCTTTTTTTTCGGCCAAAAACGCCTTACTATACATGGTCGTTTTTTTCGGCAAAAAACGCCTTACTATACATGGTCTTTTTTTTCGGCCAAAAACGCCTTACTATACATGGTCGTTTTTTTCGGCAAAAAACGCCTTACTATACATGGTCTTTTTTTTCGGCCAAAAACGCCTTACTATACATGGTCGTTTTTTTCGGCAAAAAACGCCTTACTATACATGGTCTTTTTTTTCGGCCAAAAACGCCTTACTATACATGGTCGTTTTTTTCGGCAAAAAACGCCTTACTATACATGGTCTTTTTTTTCGGCCAAAAACGCCTTACTATACATGGTCGTTTTTTTCGGCAAAAAACGCCTTACTATACATGGTCTTTTTTTTCGGCCAAAAACGCCTTACTATACATGGTCGTTTTTTTCGGCAAAAAACGCCTTACTATACATGGTCTTTTTTTTCGGCCAAAAACGCCTTACTATACATGGTCGTTTTTTTCGGCAAAAAACGCCTTACTATACATGGTCTTTTTTTTCGGCCAAAAACGCCTTACTATACATGGTCGTTTTTTTCGGCAAAAAACGCCTTACTATACATGGTCTTTTTTTTCGGCCAAAAACGCCTTACTATACATGGTCGTTTTTTTCGGCAAAAAACGCCTTACTATACATGGTCTTTTTTTTCGGCCAAAAACGCCTTACTATACATGGTCGTTTTTTTCGGCAAAAAACGCCTTACTATACATGGTCTTTTTTTTCGGCCAAAAACGCCTTACTATACATGGTCGTTTTTTTCGGCAAAAAACGCCTTACTATACATGGTCTTTTTTTTCGGCCAAAAACGCCTTACTATACATGGTCGTTTTTTTCGGCAAAAAACGCCTTACTATACATGGTCTTTTTTTTCGGCCAAAAACGCCTTACTATACATGGTCGTTTTTTTCGGCAAAAAACGCCTTACTATACATGGTCTTTTTTTTCGGCCAAAAACGCCTTACTATACATGGTCGTTTTTTTCGGCAAAAAACGCCTTACTATACATGGTCTTTTTTTTCGGCCAAAAACGCCTTACTATACATGGTCGTTTTTTTCGGCAAAAAACGCCTTACTATACATGGTCTTTTTTTTCGGCCAAAAACGCCTTACTATACATGGTCGTTTTTTTCGGCAAAAAACGCCTTACTATACATGGTCTTTTTTTTCGGCCAAAAACGCCTTACTATACATGGTCGTTTTTTTCGGCAAAAAACGCCTTACTATACATGGTCTTTTTTTTCGGCCAAAAACGCCTTACTATACATGGTCGTTTTTTTCGGCAAAAAACGCCTTACTATACATGGTCTTTTTTTTCGGCCAAAAACGCCTTACTATACATGGTCGTTTTTTTCGGCAAAAAACGCCTTACTATACATGGTCTTTTTTTTCGGCCAAAAACGCCTTACTATACATGGTCGTTTTTTTCGGCAAAAAACGCCTTACTATACATGGTCTTTTTTTTCGGCCAAAAACGCCTTACTATACATGGTCGTTTTTTTCGGCAAAAAACGCCTTACTATACATGGTCTTTTTTTTCGGCCAAAAACGCCTTACTATACATGGTCGTTTTTTTCGGCAAAAAACGCCTTACTATACATGGTCTTTTTTTTCGGCCAAAAACGCCTTACTATACATGGTCGTTTTTTTCGGCAAAAAACGCCTTACTATACATGGTCTTTTTTTTCGGCCAAAAACGCCTTACTATACATGGTCGTTTTTTTCGGCAAAAAACGCCTTACTATACATGGTCTTTTTTTTCGGCCAAAAACGCCTTACTATACATGGTCGTTTTTTTCGGCAAAAAACGCCTTACTATACATGGTCTTTTTTTTCGGCCAAAAACGCCTTACTATACATGGTCGTTTTTTTCGGCAAAAAACGCCTTACTATACATGGTCTTTTTTTTCGGCCAAAAACGCCTTACTATACATGGTCGTTTTTTTCGGCAAAAAACGCCTTACTATACATGGTCTTTTTTTTCGGCCAAAAA